GGATAGTGAAATAATTGTATTATAATATATATATAATATATGATAATTTATTTATTAACAAGTTTTTTTGCAATTATTTCACCATCTAGCAGTTTAATGAATTTTTTTTATTTTATAAAGCATAAATAGGGCTACAAAACAAAAAAAGTTTATGCAAATTGGATTATTAGATAGCAAATTACAGTCAGACCCCCATATAGTCACCTAATTGGTTCCCATAAAATCAGTGATTGTATAGGGGTGTGTTTATATACAGGTACTATATCTTAATTTTGGCCGAAATTAGTAAATTATAATTTATAAAATTATGTAATCACTACGGATATTTCCTTTTTTGGTGATAGCCGTTCCACAAAATTTTTTTTGCCGATTTTGTGTTGGAATGTCGTGTAACATTAATTCTTAAAAAGGAAAGAAAAAATTATATGTTTCGTAATTCTGGGCAAAATTGCTTTTTGGCCGAAATTATGATGTGATTAATAGAGGTCTAATCACTAATAGAAATGATATAGTATCCGTTTGGTATTATGCGGTGATAGTGATTATAGTCAAATTGTAATTATAGAGGGGTAATTTGATAGTATTTAAAACCGTTTCTCAAAATCGAGTTCTTATAAAGAGGTGTGACTGTATAGGGTGTGACTGTATGGGGGTCTGACTGTAATTGTATTATAATATATATATTAATATAATATATTATACTGTATGTATTTTTTTAGCCAATCAGAATTCAATCACATGGTGGGTAGGAGGGTCAGGTTTCTAATTGAGCATAATCACGTGATTTCTGGCACGCCCCTTAGAATCAACACTGAGTGAACTTGCCATTATGTCAATAAGATTTTGAATTTTTAATAATCTTATCCAAGTCAGATAAAAAAAATTCCACCTGGTTGGTATGTCTAAAATTATTCACAAATAACTATCATTTTCCTCCAAATTCTATAAGAAAAAAGAAAAAATATAACTGTTTAATTAGACAATTTTACAGGATAATATAAAATCATAAAAAAAACTCAATTTTTATCTCTGTTTGTAAATGCCGTTCTTTTTTTTTGAATTTCTATTAGCTTTTCCGTTTGTTTTATATATGAAACTGAAATTGGTTAATTTTGACCTCCAAAATGGTTGAAATGGTCAAAATGATTTCGACTTGAGCCCCTCCAAAAGTCGAAATGGTCAAAATTACGTCATAGTCATATGATTTTATAGTAAACAATAATATTAAAATTCAAAGTTAACGAACTTCGCATCCAGTGATTCGATTTTTATGATCTTTACACTTACACAGTTGGATTCAGCTTATTGAGAGGATTTCAATGATATGTATTTCATATCTATAGCATTAATATTGACGGAGATATTCACGTTTAAAATTTGGTATTAACTATTAAATAGTCTTATAATTTTTATAGTAAACAATAATTTTAAAATTCAAAGTTAACGATCTCCGCATCCAGTGATTCGATTTTTATGATCTTTACGCAGTTGGATTCAACTCATAGAGAGGATTCCAATGATATGTAATTTCATATCTGTAGCATCAATATTGACGGAGTTATTCACGTTTAAAATTTTATATTAAATTATAATTATAAAAATCACATGACTATGATGTAATTTTGACCATTTCGACTTTAATTTTGACTTTTGACCTTCCCAAGTCAAAATATTTCTATTTTTGGGCTTTAATTTCGACTTTATGTATAGTTTAACATAAGTCTTTTAGCCCTTGCTACTAAGACTTCTGCTGGTATAAGTTCTTTACCCATTACCAATTGCAACATATATGCTGTACAAGGCAATCTTATAATATCTTCCATTAATTAACCAATAAGGACCATATTGGAGCCATTATCCATTGTAATAGTAAGAATTTTTCCATCAAGTTTCCACTCATGTATAATTCAATTAAGCAATTCAACAATATTATTTGCAGTGTACGGGTAAGGTAAATATTGGATTGCAAGTGTCATTTCACATAATTGAAATGAATCATTTATAAATAAACACGTTACTCCCAAATAGCACTTTGATTCTTGGCTGTCCATAAATCCATAGTTAAAGAATATGAAATTACTTCTTTTTCCATTTTACTGATTAAAACTTTTTTTGTTTGATTATACCCTTTAGCTAAAAGTTTCTTGCATCGTTTTTCACTTGGGAATTGATAATTAGGATCAAATTCATAAATAAATTCAGTAAAACCAATATTATCACGAATACTAATAGGTCTTTGATCTTTTACTAAAATTCCTATAAATTTTTGATCACAGCGGTTTTTAATAGCTGGATTAGTTTGAAGCATATAAGTCAGTTGGTTCCCTTTCTTATTATTTTCCATTTCTTGTGTTTTTCTTTTATAAGTTTCTTCTGTTATACCATGTTTACAAGCCAAATGCACAATGAAATTTCCTGTTGAACTATCAGTTTCCAGCACTTCAATCAAACATTTAACAATTTTCTTATACAGCGGTATTAGAACAAATTGATCAAAGTAAAATCATATCCAACTGTTTCTGGATGGCAGTGCATTTGGAATTAAAGAAAGTTCAATATTTTTTAGATTAATTTTGAGTGGTTTGTCATCAGACTCATTATTAGGGTCTTCATTTATAATTATTGAAGCATTTTTATTATTAAACGCAGTCTTTTTGCTTTTTTTATTAGGCTGTAAGTTTTTTTACTTTCAGCTTTTTGTTTATTATCTCTTAAGATGTTTTGTGAATTTTCTGCTTTCTCTTCTGAAATACCAGCCTCATCAAATATAATATTATTGAGATTTCATTAATATATGTCATGTTTTAATACCTGATATGAAAAAAAAAATAAAGAAAAAACGCGTATCATTAAGTAACGTGACTAATAATTTAATTTTAAGGAGACATCACACAGATAATAAAAAGCCACAAGTCACAAGATTATAAGTACAGTAGATTATTTGTTATTGTCATATGATATACAAATTTATCCAAAAATATCTGAAAATATCCATAAAATCTGTAAAATTTATCTGTAGCTGAAAATTATCATCTGGATATTTGTATATCTTATAAGTATCCGGATGGGTTATTCACAGATCTAACCACTACAATTATTAAAATAATCTTCTACAGTAAGACGGATTATACTGATAAATCTATTCAGATGATAATTCAAATTGTTAGTTCAAAAGGAATTTTACAAAAAGGTTCAAAAGAAGATTCAGAAGATAACTCTAAAGAAGATTTAGAAAGTAACTCTAAAGAAAAGTTAATAGATGATTTAAAAGACGTTTCAAAAGAAAAATCATCTATATTTGTTTAACAACTGGTGAAAAAAATTCATTTGTCTTATATATATTTTTATTATAATCATTAAAATTCTCCATATTGTTTATATTGTTTGAAGAAAATTATAAAAACAAAAAAAGAAAAATGGTATTCTAAGGCTTAAAGTTTGTTTATACATTATGTAAATTAAGGTAAAATTCACTAAAAATGAATTTCACTATAAAATTTTAAAAATTCAATGTAACACATATAAATCAAAGTTAAATTCACCATTAAATTATCAATTTTAGTAAAAATTTATATGAATTAAAGTAAAATTCACCAGTGGTGAATTAATTTTAAATTAACCACTGGTAAATATAAAATTAATCCTTTTTTAAAAATTAATATAAATTTTTTAATAAAATTTACTATTATATTTAAATTTCTCTTAAAGTAGTTATTTTCAAATAGATATATATAATGGTTATACTTATAGTTTCAGGATTTGTATTTTATATAATTCCATACTAAATAAAGTAAAAAATAAATTATAAAACATATCCTTGTATATTTTTAAACTTAATAAGAAGAAAGAAATTAATAATTAATTAGATATCATTTTAGTTGGTTTTCTCTAAATATCTTTACAAAGATTTCTATAAAAAATTTTTTATGATACAGATATTATGAGATAAAGTTATAACATGTGAAAATATTGAAAACATTTCAATGGATTTATGAATTATGAAATATTACTTGTCATCTTTTACATTAAAAATGATTAATAACATATTGCCTCTTTTACCTTTTTGTAAGAAGAACCAGTATAATCTTTTATCATTAATATAAATTTAAAAACTCCCGTTCGTTGAGAAATATTAATACAATTTTTACACGCAGATTTAAATAAGAAAAAAAATTTATATTTATAAAAATACGAGCAAAAGTTATTTACTTAAACGCGTTTAATTATATCGTTCAATAACTGTAAACAATCAAAATCAAAATCAGGATTTTAAAATTAATTAAAAATTACACAAACTCTTTATTTATAATTTCGGTAAAAAACGAGGTCTTTTTTAAATAATTAATAACACAAAATATATGATAGATAACATTAATAATAATAAATCTCTATGCACGATATTACGCAATTAGACTTGTTTAAAGTTTGCAAATAAGAATTATGACTGCATGCAATGATCGCATAAACTCAGGATAATTTTATTATGACAATGATCTCTTTTTCGAAGTTTGTTTCTATGATACATAATTTATCAATATTTTTTTTGCATAAATCGGTTTACAAACAATGGAACCTATAATTTTCCTTTTGAAACTATGTATTTAATCGGTTGTATTACAAATGAAAAACGTGGGGGTATAATCTAAAATTAAATAGGCAAAATACTGTCGATCTGTGTTTCTATTATTATACCGGTTTGAACTAAAAATAGATTGAGCTAAATTTAGCTTATCAATGTTACTAACTATTATTCTATTATTAATCGGAATCAAGCTTTTTTAATTGTCAAATTTATGATCTACGAGGACGTTTGTTATTATTAGTATTTTTTTCTCGGACAATATTAAGAGGTTTAGAAGTGATCCCCCGCATTTGAAGTTTTCCGCGTTTTCCGGTAGTAATTGGAGTCGTGGGAGAAGTTAAATCAAGTTCTTGTTCAATTATTATAGATCGATCTTCGAAAGCCCTTAAATCAGAAGTAAATAACACCTAAAATTTTTTTTTTTTTTAAAAAAAAAAGTGTTCAATAAACAAAGCAATTTATAAAAATAACATATAAACAAAATTTACAGAATGAGCCCATCCGCTGTATTCTCCAAAAATCTTTCGAAAATGATCGCCAACAGCTTCATAATTACGAGATGTCAATGAATTCGATTTTCCTTTTGTTTTTACGCTAAATCCATATTTCCTTTGAGCGATTTGCCAAACATGTGTATCAACTGGTATAGCATTATGTTTGTTTAATGACATTAAACATACACAATCAGCAACCTTAGGTCCAACCTAATAATATTAAAATTTGCGTTAATAATTATGGGAAAAAAGCATTAGTCTGATAAAGGAATTATTTGTCCTTACACCGGATAGTTTCAAAAGAGCGGCATGCGCTTCCTTGTAATCCAAATTTCGTAAGTTATATAGCCAAATATTACCATCTGGAAAATTCTCACAAATATATTTAGCAGTTTGTACGATATATCTTGCACGATATCCAAATCCAAGTTTTCTCAATTCATCTTCAACATTCGGTGATGTAAGTTTTTCTAATGTAGGAAAATCAAAATAGTCTTCTCCATTCAATGTATATACTTTATCACCATATTGACGACACAATTTTTCAACCTGATTTTTTAAAAAAAAAATTAAGTGGAAAAAAAATAAATTCAAAAGTAAAATTTGACATTATATTGAAGTTACCATCTGAGTAATTCGGTTGATGTTATTATTAGTCGAACAAATAAAACAAAATAAATTTTCGATTGGATCTTGTCGTAGTATCCTAATACCTTTGAATTTTTGAGCTATTTTTGCAAAATGCTTATCTGCTTTACTCCATTTAGTATAACATTCGCTTAAGCTAACGGTATTTAATTGGAAATAATCTATCAAGAATTCATGTAATTTATCCAACTCGTGGAAAGAGGAAACGTCGCAATACGTTCGGTATTCAATATCCGAAGCTACGCGTGATAAATGAACAAACTCAGTTTGATTAATTCTATCTTATATTATTTAATCAATTATAAAAAAAGTTAAATACGTGTTTGTTTTAAAGTGATAAGCCTTCCTTTGAAAGCACATGACCTTTTTTTTAAAAAAAAAGAAATATATATATATTATAATATAAATCTTTATTTAATAAATATATATTGCTGTAAAACTTTAAAATATATTTGTATCTTATTATACCATTCATTTTTTCCGGAAACTTTCCACCTAAACGACTGACCACATTTTAAAGTTTTATCTAATCTTAATTCTTCAGCAGAAACTTTTAGAGTACGCCAAACAGTTGACATTATAATATATTATTTACGGATATTCGGTTTTAAATTTGTTTATATTGAATTCAGTAAACGCGCATAAAGAAAGCTAAAGAAACAATGCACGCGAATGAATTTCAGTTTGATAATAATTATAAATAGTAGTAGTTTAATCAAATTCAAAAAGTAAATCTATGATAAATCTATTAATAAAAATTTAAATTAAACTTTTATTGGCTAGTTAGTCGATGAATAATATTCATTGATTTTCTATTTTTAAATTTGATATGTCCTATCAAAACTTTTAAGGTACTCTGTACTTGATATCTAAAGTTAGAGTTGTTGATCTCATGCATATTGGGGGCTAACACGTTTTTTGATACATTTTATTTTTAGAAAATACCACTTATGGAATTTTAATATAGTACAGCCACGTCCCAACTTATATGAGTATATTTATTTTATAATAATAATAATAAATAATAATAATAAATACAGTAATATAATTATTATTATATTAGTAGGAGATGATCTCCGAATTACTACTGCTACTGTAAAATCTCAATTTTTGTTGTTTGAATAATTGAAAAAAAAAAATTCTGATCAACTGATCAACATTTTTTTGTATATATAGACAAAAAACGCGACTTTGTTTTCGTTCCTCCGTTCAAGAACTTTTTTTTTTTTTTGAACTTTACACTAAACTTACTTAAGAAATATCCGATTAAAGAATTTTTTTAAAAAAACAAAAAAAAGAAAATAAAATAAAATCTTTTGCGTAAATAAAATAATTATTTAAAAATGTCTACCGTTAACAATCCATCTAATGATAATCCTAACTCAGCTGCTTCACGTTTAGAGATTCAAAAGCGTCTTCAACAACGGTTGAAAACTAGAACGGATACTACAAGCAGACCAACACCAAGAACGTATCAACAACTTCCCAATTTTCTACAACAAGTTCTTCCTGATAATTACACGTATATTATTAAATCTTATAAAGAATTAGAGCTTGAAACTTTCCCAGGAGCTCCTACAGCCGCATTTGATTCAACATTTTACGTAAATATCGCATCAAGTGAAGCAATCGAAGAATGGCGTACAGCATTTCATAACAAAACAGGAACCATATTTCGTATCACTAGAGCAGATAAAGTAAAAGGCATTAAAGTTATATATCATAAAGATTTTCATTGTAGGCACGCTGATATTGCCGCTATAAAATATATGCAAAAAACTTATGCTCAGAAAGCTGGTCAACGAAGAAGTCGAAATACAAATTGTCAGTGTTTAGCTAAAATTCGATTGGAAAAAAGTAGACTTCAACTTTCACATCCATGTGAAATTCATCTTGTTTATAATCATAATCATCCTTTAGAAACGTTTAATCTCACAACACCCGCCACTCCAGCCACTCCTTCGATTGGAGGCGGATCGTCCGGAAGTGATGATAGCGGAAAAAGCACACCACAACATAATTTTGATTTTGATTCATCGACAAGTAAGTTTAAATTTTATTCTTAATTTTTTTCCTTGTTTAGTATAGAAGTTCTCTTCAATTGAAAATGATAATACTTCAAATGAAGATATAACAACTGCAAGCAAAACAAATCCTCATCAACAAACCTCTTCTTTCTCCTCTTGTACCAATTCTCCTCAAATCTCCGGTTCTTCTTCAACGATCGATATTGATTCTCTCACTGCAAAAACTTTTTCCGAATTTCAACAATTTGTTAAAGAATGCGAGGTTGATATTTTGAAAGGGAACGATACAGAATATTGTAAAGGAATAATTAAATTTATGGAAAATCACCGAAGAGCGAGGGCTCTTTCCCTTTCTCACGCTACGTCTTTTCTTGATCAATTCTCTTGGCCTGAACCTCCTAATATACATCAACACGGTCACCAGATTCAAAATTTTGGAAATTCTCAATTTATAACATATCCTTATCATCAACAACCGCAATTTACAAGTGTACCGGTTCAATTCTCCGGTATTGCAAGTGAACAATTTTTACCTCAACAACTTACAACAATGAATACAACTAATTTTGATACTGGTATAAGACCATCTCTTAAACGTGCCGCTACTGATCAACCGACGCCACGAGACATTGATCCACAACATTTGTTGCGCAAAAGAAGATCAACAAGTGCAAAAATGAGACCGAATGATTTAATTATGAATTTATCTCAACATATGTAAATATTGCAAATATATATATATAAATATAAATAAGATTTTTTTTTCATATTTTTTCATAAAAATAAAAGTATATATACAGCAAACAAAAAAAAAATTCTATGCAAAGAAAAATCTGTAGAGTTGTAACTACAATATAAATAAATAAAAAAAATAAAAAAAAATAGACAATTACGCGTTTGATTAATAAATTTTTCAATGAGAATCTTTGTAATTTTTATTATTTATACATCTCCATCATAAAGTTTATTAAGAAATAAAAAACTATGACTGTATATAAAACCGGATTATTGAAAACTTTTTAGTAAATGCAGATTTAGGCGAGCTTTAAAATGTTACAGTAAAAATAATTAGATCAACTTTTTTTAAAAAAAAAGGCGAATAAAAAAAAATCAATTTAAAAAAAAAATTAAACATAAAAATGAGTATTTAAAAAATATTTTAACAATAAAATAAAATAAAAAAAAAAATGTTTAGGGCGACGATATAAATCCATCATAAATATTCTACTCACCAACACGAAACAATTTAAAAATAGAAATAGAATATATTTTTGCTTTTTAAGAAAGAAAAAAGAATCTACAATAGATTATTAAAAAGAGTATAATAAACATGAAATAATATACTGTATTAAGAAAATAAAGAAATAGAAAAAATCAAAAAAAAAAAGAGTAAAAAGAAATATATATATATAAGAATAGAAATTTATCATGAAGAAAAACTATAACAATAAGCTGGCCAAGAAACTAAAAAAAAAAAAAATATATATTTTTCTGACCATACTAATCCTAAATACATATATTTAGTATATTTATAATATATATATATATATATTCGGATTGGCGAGAGAATAAAGTTTTAGTAAATAAAATCGGTATACATCGCCCGCGGTACCGACCAAGAATCCATAATCTCCTTGATAAAAATCTAATGTGAACTTGTAGAAAAAAAAAAGAGAAGAGTGTGCCCAGTAATACTCGACAGCGCCCACCAAGAAACATAAAGGTTTAAAGAAATAAGCTATTATACATCTCGCGCACTAAAAGTGAAAATTATAACAAATAGTTAATCTCAAATTTTTTGTTATTATGACAGTCCAAATCTTTTTGATGTAAAAGTTTGCTTGACGAAAGACCTAGAAAACCCCCAAAAAATCCGTACCAAGGTCGATGAAAAGGAAAAAAAAAAATTCGATAGGGTGAAAGTCGTAATTCCACGAGCTGCCTTCCTGAATTCCAGGGTCCTAAATAATGTTAAAGAGAATTGAATCTTTGACAATCCCGACTGAGAGTCAAGAAAGCAGCTGTGAACATGATGTTTTCCAGTCCGTGCTGAACATCAGCACCACCTGCTATGTTCAGAAATTGTCCTCTCATCAGATCTTCTAGTGCGCTTCATTGGAAGTATTGGAAGTGTCCAAAACCATCATTACGTCATCTACCATTGTTAAATCTTCCAAAAATGGTATTAAATCCAACAATTCAGTATCGTGTGGGTCATTAAACCATGACGATATAGGAACAGCATTAGTTGGATGAAAGATATAACTTGCAGGAGAGTTATCAATAATGATAGTGTCATTAAGTGCTCGACCAAGTAGCGATAAGTCCTTAATATTATTAAATTATGTAAATGTTAGAATTTATCCGATTAATAAGAACATAATTCGTAAACCAATTAGGATTTCTCACTTTCACATAATTTCCCTTATGATTACTACATGATTCTCTAAATAATCGATGTTTAACCACTTTGCTCGTATCTAACATATCAAGAACAGGGTCGGCATACTAAAATATAATTAAGAAGAATTAATATATTTTACAATAATTTTGAGAATTCAAAGAAAGTAGCTAACCTTTGACAAACTTGCAGTAAACACTACAATTTCGTATATTTCCCCCATTTTTTTCAAAAAATGATCAACTCCAGGACGTTTTATTACATAGACATTGTGTATTTGACTTTCAATTTCAACCGGTACAACAAAATCAGCTTGATGAATCAACTATCATAATAAATGCAAATTCATTAATAACCGATAAAAATGAAATAAAATGCAATTATATTAGTAAGATGTAAGAAATTACCTTAAAAGAACTATGTACTAGAGTTTCATCTAAATCTAATACTAAACACTTTCTACCAATATGTTCAGGTCCTATTGGGCCAAGGAGCCATTTATTTTCGACCTATCAAATTCGGATTAGAAATAAAAAATTACAGTAAAAACCCATTTTTCATAAAGTTCCTAATAAGATTGCAAAAAAAAATACAAAACTATAAATAATTATTAACAACCTCTCCTTCATTTGGTTCTTCCAAAATTGGTTCGGGAACCACTGGTGGACTAACTTCGGCAGGCTTTTCCTGTTCTATTGTGGTATTCGTCTGTTTTTTGGTAAAACTTTTATTGCTCACGACGGTCCCAGATGGAGTATTAGTGGTAGGAACAGTGATATTTTCAGGCTTGTCAACATCGTTTATCATAGCGCCAGCTCCCCATGTGCAACAAAAGAGAAACGAGAGGAATGAACGTGGTGGTGGACGTTGCGTTGCTCCTGTATTATTTGGGGATTTTTGACTTGTTTGCAACGGAGGTTCTGCGTTTGCGAGCGTTGTAGACGTGTTACTTGTTGAGATGGAAATATTTTTTGAAGGTAGAGGTTTGGTTGCTGGCTCTTAATAAAACAAAAATAAATCTCATTATTATTAAAACTTTTTAAAAAAAAATCTAAAACTCCTTGGGCCATTATTTGCCTTGGTTAAAGAAATTATTTAATTATCTTTATATAATTCACAGAAAAAAATAAAAATTGCTATTAAGTATTGGAAGGTGTCTCTGTGTGAATTACTATTTATGCACCCTTAACCTTACATTACATATATGGACACATATATAAAGGTGATAATTTACCTTCTGTCTTCGTTCCGATTAGAACTTTTGAATCTGAAGTCTGTGTTATTATACTGCCTGTCACACCAAGTTCATTCTCAGGACTAACTTGAGTAATTGGCGACTGACTCATATCGAAATTCTTATATATATGTGTATATATATTGTATAAAAGTTAAGATTTATAATTTAAATTAAATCAATAAACGACGCAAAGAATTCTAATCGTAGAGAATAAAAACATAAAAATTTGGGTACAAAAGAAATAAATAAATTAATTAATTGTAGAGAACTAAATAAATACAAAGTAATAGAGAAAATAATATTTGAAAACTGTAAACTAACCAAAGTAAGAAAAATGAAAACAGCCGCAGATGGGATAAGGTAAGAGAACCTAAAATGGCCGTATGAAACGAAAATACGGAATGATGGTGTAAGGAAGAGATTATAGGAGACTCCGTAGTGTTAGGCAATAAATGAAGCGAAAGTTGATAAAGACAACTTGACAATGGTACTTGTTGTAGTTGTCGGAGGGGATGAGGGAATACGCAATTACTATTTCAGTGCGATAGCGAACTTATCATAACCGAGTCTTTCGGCACGGAAAACGACCAGGAGTTACTCTTTTTATAAAAATTTAAAAAGGACTAAGGAGTGTGATAGTTGGAAAATGCGAGCCCCTAAGTGAGTGTTTTGTTAGATGTGAAGCAAAGATGACAGAAAATCTACGATGGCGGTTTAAGATTGCCAATGTCAGACTCAACACCCTCAAGCGCAGGGTGATTGAGGAGTGACAAAGTAGACAAAGAACACGCACCTTTTAGTTATCTTGAAATTCTTGAGCGGGCGGAAAGAAAAGGCCGTGCAAAGGGGAAAGATACTTGAACCAGTTTAATTTCAAAGGGTTTTTTTTAGGTGAGTACGTCGCGCAAACAAAATTTTGCGACAAGTTGCTAACCTGCACAACCATAATTTCTTAGATTTCAGATACTTCAGTGACTATTGGTCAATATTGAAGTAACTTAACACTTGTAAGTCACTGGAATACGTTACTTTAGAATTGTCACATCCTTTTGTCTTATTTACATTTGAAATATTAGTGTAATTAGTGTAAACATAAAAAAATTTAGTTACACATATTTATTTAAAGGTAAGTATAATGAAATGAATAAACTTGGATACAGTATAATAAATTTTGCGAGCACAACTTTACAACTTATTAAACTGTCATTATATCATTATCCATTTTAGGAAGTAAAAAATTAAAAACAATTCTAGGTTGAATTAAATTATTATAAATAAATTAATATATTAAATATTAATATCAACTAATATAACAAATATAAATAATTTTGGAACTAGGGAATAAAACATTATGTATATAATTCAATTTTAAGAAATATTTAGAAATATTTTATAATTATTAAATGAAACCAATAATATTAATATAAATAGTAAATATTGATGGAGCGAGAAAAAATAATAGGCAATGCTGGTAATAATATTGTTTTTATGATAATAGATAGACACTTTGTATTAATCGTTTCTCCAAACAAAAAAGTTAACGTTATGTCATGAAACATTTCTTTTTTTTGAAATTAAAACTTGTTTTAAAGTCAGGGCCAGCAATCTTAAAATAGGATGTCCCGATATTTCGACTCATTGTCTCGTTATGGGATTATCGGGAGAAACTTTAGTTAAACGATTTACCAAGATAAAGAAATATTAAAAGTTTCCTTAACAATAATTTATTGTTTTGAGATTTAATAAAAGATAATTTAAATGGATATCGATCCCAAATAATATAAAGTTGATTATATAATAGATATTGTACATAATTGGTATAAAATGTTGAAAACGGAGCGTTTTAAATACACATTCCAAAGGAATGCCCTCCGGGCATTTATAACTTTCAATCAATTTCGCTCGATGTACGTATCTCATCTTTTTTTCGCCATCTATTCCATATGTGTGACAACACAATAATTAATTATTATTTAGTACATAAAGTAAGTAAAATATTAAGAGCTCTTATAAGTTTGGGACCAGGCTCACCGTGCACTCAAAGAGAATTTATATTATGCGTGCACTTATAGAGGGCGCACTTATAGAGATATCACTGTATTGTTGTTTTTCCTGTCTCTTCCAGAATTACGAAAAGTAAAATGGTGCATACTTAAGCTGTTCTATCTACATATATTTTATAGTATCCGAGGCAATACTGCACTCGAAAATATGCTTTATTGACGTAAGAAAATATGTTTAATACTTTCATGCTATGTAAAAGTAGAATACCTTATGAACTAATTAGTCACACCAAGTAACCGTTAAGTTAAACTCACAATTATACCCAAAGTTACTTCGAAGTTCGATTAAGTTGTTCTTTCTAAGATATCAAACTTTTTTCACTAGTGTTATCATAATTTGAGTTATGCCTAATTATGCATAACTATTCTTGAGATTTGAAATCGAGGTCCCCATAACTAAATATTAATTACTATTGTACTCACAACTGCTTTTTTACTTCCTTTCAAGTTATTATTTTTGTTGTATTGTGTAATGATCAATACGCAAATTCAATGTTTTACCCCGAATGGAAGGAGCGATAAAATATGTCCATTTTCATCAAAGTTCTTAATTCTACATGTGTAATAAATTGCTCCAGCATCTGACTCCCTACTAATAGAAAACAGAGTCTTAGGCAAAATATGATTGCTAGAAAACAAATTGTGCAAAGAAATTATATTGTCTGCATTCCGTGCTCTAATCGTTAATAAGGTCCTCAGAAATCAAACTCTGAAACTTCTTAGCAAATGCATGGTCACAGCAAATATTCATACTTTAATTGCGTATGTCTCGTCCAGGCTTCAATAATTTTAATGATTTCTCCTTAGGCTCGGAGAAAACGAGAAAAAAAATTGTACAACGTGAGAGTTACTGCGCTTTATTTTTTCTTGCAAAGGACACATTAGCCAAATGCGGCCTTTCGTACGACCGAAAAGTTGACTGATTATACTCGAAGTACCTATATATATAATACCCTCACTCAAACCTTTTTCTCAAAAACTAAAACTTGCACCTTCACTTGCAGAAAAATCGTCAAAATGATTACTTCATTAAACTGTTATATTCTAGGTGACTCTACTGACAAAATATTTTCGATTTTTTTCCTTCATCCATAAGATGAATATGGTTTCACATCTCAAAGAGTATACCTTGTTTAAGAAAGAAAATAAATTTAGTAAATTTAATATTAAAGACTCTGATGACAAGGATCGTTGGAATATTAATGTTATTGAAGGCAAGCTTGTAGATGTAAAACTTGAGATAACATTCAACGTATACTTGAAGGCTCGAAGATGAGCTCAACGAAGAAGTTTAGAAAATATACGTATTTCCAGATAATTATGCAGATTGTATCATCATCACATTCCCCGCTGATGCTACTGGTAAGTGTCTCCCAATATTTTACCTCTCGAACAAGAACAATCTAAATGTTAGAGTTTTCGCCTTTACTTCGACTTTAGGGTGGATACAAGAACACATACTGGCCGATGGGACAAAACACGTCGGTGCTCGATTTACTTGTATCGATTTAAGTTCTTTCTCTCTGAACAACCACCAGGTGATCGTAACTTTTATCCGATCCCATCCCTAGCTGGTGGTCACGGCATTCCCTTCCTTAGCTCATTTGTAATTATTGGTAAATTTATTCTTTTTATTGTTAAATCACACCTTAACGCTGTTGTTATTTCAATTTCTAATCTATTTATTTCCCCGATTGTGGTCAATCTCTTCTTTCCCCATGTGCAGGGAAATTCTGTTTCTGCAGGAGCTTGTTAATATTAATCGCGACGACGTTATATCTATATTAGGAAATGCAGACGTTACCCATGGAAATGGAACGGAGGCATCAGATTTTGACATGAGAATTGGAGCAGAAGCTTCGCATTATTTTGTATATGGCAAGAAGTGATTAGGCAAGAAAATGTAAAGCAGTTAACGTTGTCCCTTGCTCTAAATACCATCTATGAAAGTAAGCGTAAAAGGAGATAAAAGTATTAATTATCTTGCAATTGTTGTCGGTATTAATGAAGTCAATAAATTACGCGATAAAAATTTCGTATTCTTGTAACTGCTGTTGGCTCAATGAGTTGTTCCCAAGGAATTGTGTTTTTTGTTCCAATCTCAGTGGGTACAATTGAGAGTCCGGGTAATTATTACCAAGTCAATTCATTCACCTCTTCAGTTACCATTACGTTTGCTAGAGCCTTGAGCCACATGATAAAAATTGCGTGTGATATTGGCTTTAACAGAAATTGTTTATAAATATGGTCTTTTCAGCTTTCACGTGCATCTGAAGACCAACATTTTGATAACATTAACTTAGTGCAAATTATGCCTCAGTTGAGGTAGAATTAATTGAACGGTATGGATTCAAAAGTTATACTGGTACAATCATTCCGGTGCTCACAAATGCGATTTTAGAAAATCCTGTTGATGAAGTCTACCCATATGAATCGTTAAAGGAAAGTGGAATTTTGACCAGATGATGGACATATTGGGAATGATGATCGATCCTAATGAATAATTTTATTGGCAACAATGGGACAATTTAGAAACGAAAAAATAAAGTTAGAGAAACCGATAAAGGAGCACGTTGTTCAAATAGTATAATTCTGTTTGCAAGCATCACCTTATTAATCGATTTCCTCCATCTGATAAAAATTATAATATGTTAGATAATGACGGTAATTTCATTTAATTATAATCGTAGTAAAATTTATAAAAATGGGGGAGGTGCGGAAGGTGATGAATTTTACTTCTTAAACATAAAAAGAAAGCCGATGTTATTAGTTTTCCAAATGAGGTGGCGAGACAAAATCCTAAAAACCGATGATAATCTGAGCATAAAAAAGTTTAGAAAGATTGGTTTGGATGAATTGTTGACAAAGATAACTTTAATAATTTTTATGGAAAGATATATTCTTCTCGTGTCCAATTTGCTGCTGGTAGATTATATATTTTTAAAGAATTTGAGAATTTATTGTTTTTTTCGTAGCCCAAGTTAAAATTAAATGTTAATACAGTGTCATTTGAGGAATTATCAAGTTATAAAAATAGTGGGAAAGAATATTGCAAATAGTTAAGATAGTAAAGATTTACGCGAGCGAATAAAAAGGTTCCCGAAAGATTTCTTAGAGATATTGCTTAAATTACGGTAAATTCTTTAATAACTTGGAGATCGTTTAATTACAATAATCGAAATATAGCTTAAATTAGAGAAATTGATTTCATTGCTGATTCAAATAAATTTATTACATATAACCGAACATATTACATGCTTTCAAGGATTACGCCATATAATGCGACTGAGCGACTCTGCGTAATATTATTTTATTTTTCTTTGCTATGTATATATCTAATCTCTGAAGTAAAATATCCAATATTCCTACTTTATATGCAAAATTAATATGTTGAATAAGTGTTCTACCGATCAAAAATAATGTAAATTCGATTCAAAAACAAAAGATTAACCTTTTTGTTAAGTGAAGGAATAATACGTTTTCTCTTGTTGGTTTGATGGACACTTTCGCATTGTACATTTAATTTACGGAGTTATGTTTTAGATCTTACATAATGCATTTTAAATGTTATTTATTTATCGCGCCGATGTATAATATATTGATTATTAACATATCTAAGAGATGAAGCCTGTTAATAAAATGAGGAAGTAAAAACGAACTGTACCAGGATATTGCTAACAAACAACTGAGCGAACCCAATGATGATTTATTCTGATACAAATTAGTTCCTCAAGTGCTTTGACCATGTGATCTACACGGCTTGTATTTTCTTTAACAACTTCGAATTGCACTTTTCCAGTAAGGATTCGACAATACGGATACATGCGTAAAGGATTGTTGAAGATTGCTGGCAATTAACTGCTTCGTTAGTATCAACAACTGTTCCCATATTGCGTTATTGCGTAAGCCATCATCTTCAATAATCAATCCTGTCCTTAAAGAGAATTATGGCATCATATTAACTTTGTATTGCTTTGCAAAAAAATGAGATAATAATTAATTGTGCATCATGTACCTATCTTCGATAGTACGCTTCAGATATGATCTCTTTGACACATCATCTACCAACAACCCGTTGTTATTATTTGTGCACAGCCCAATTCTGTTGGAAATGCGATGCTAATTAAGTCTAAAATATTTTTTGTACCATTGATGAGTAGAGTTGTTGTCTCATCATATAAATATTCCTGTTCTTATTCACTATCTCTTTTTGTATTTCTTCAGAAATAATTTCTGAAACCACCCACCCATTCTATTTTATAGATATCGTGCATCTGACGAAGACGATAATGAGAACTAAACTACAAAATAAGTAAAGTAATCGGTTAAAAATATTCAAATAATGATAGAGGACATATACTTTTTTAAAGATATTAAAAACATAATTAAAACGATAGCATACTTTTAATAAATGGTATTACTGTTTTTGATGAACCATAATCATTGATATATTTTCTATAATACATTAATAAGATTAAGTTTATCCTATCATGTATATGCTTATAATAGTTTATTTTATCACAAAAGCTTAAATAATAAATATAATATTTGAACTAATTATAATTGTTTTAATATTAAGTAAAATAATTGTCAAAAAATCAATCTTTATATGAAACCTAAGTTTTCGGCTATACTATTATATATATAGGGAATATATTTTTGGAATACTGTTTCAAGTAAATTTTATGAGCATAATTAATACGCTAAATCACGTGATAATTACTAGCTGTATTCTGTGATACAAGGTAAATATGTAAATTCCGTTTGGTTAATAATACAACATTTTCAAGACACCTCTTTATTCATCAGGATCAATAAAAGAGTTCTTACTGCTTCAAGTAAATTGAATTATTTTGGACGTACTAATTTCTTAGACTTCGTATTAAATGAGTTATCGAAGAACTACTTTATTTGTAGCTGGCTTTGGGTCTCAAATCAGAGCCAGAGACTTGGCATACGAATTTGAAAGGTATTTTTTTTTAAATTTTTTTTTTCCAACTCTGTCATAATAACGATATAACATTTTTGATAAAGAAAATTCTAATTTTCCATTTTTTAATTTTTAAGATACGGTCGGTTAATTCGTTGTGACATTCCTGCTCCAAGAAGTTATCAATCGAAACCGTAAATATTACTTGTTTTGTACTTGTTCGTGAAAATTTTATGATTTCTATATATATTCTTTAATTACCGAATTGTTTTTGGCTTAGTTATGCTTTTGTTGAATTTGAGGATGAACGAGACGCCGAAGATGCTTATTATGAGATGCATGGGCGTAGGGTATATGGACACGCTTTGAATATTCAGGTTTGGATTCTATAAATATTTATTTTTGAACTTTTTTACATGTTTGAAAATAACTTTCTAATTTTTACTTTCTTTTAGTGGGCAAAAAATGCACCTTCTAGATCTTGGCGGTATGAAGGAAGTAGTCGAAGTTCACCGCGCCGAAGTCGTCGATCTCCAACACCACCACGTTATAGAAGACGTCGTTCTTATTCACGTTCTCCAAGCCGTACTCGTTCTCGATCTCGTGGTCGTAGCCGTTCTCCTCGTTCCGACCGTCGTAGTCGCACGAGATCTAGAACTCCTGAAAGAGACAGAACAAACGGTGAAGATCGTACAGCTGATGATAGAAGGTCTAGATCAATATCGCCTCCCAGAGAAGATACTAAACGTCGTGACTCTCGTTCAGCTTCTCCTCGACCTCGTGAAGAAGCTAGGGATAGATCTCCAACCCCCAATGGTCGTACTGCCACTTCTCGTTCTCAGTCAAGGAGTAGTCCACACCATTCTCAGTCTAGTAGAAGTCCCCCACGGGATTGAATTACTATTCAACAACAGAGACCTACCTTCAATACAACGAAGAATTGAGTGAATTTATACAGACTTCTTGCCATGTAAAATCTTCTTAATATTCTCTATATTTACATTATAGCTTTTGATTTGCGGATGATTTGAATAGTACATGTATTCTGTTCATTATCTTTTTATTTTTTTTTTTTTTTCATTATTTCTTTTTTTCCTTTACGGTGGCATACTTTGGGATTTTATTGCTCTCGATGAAAATTTATTCTTGTCAATGCTTTATTTTCCATTATTTTTGAATATTATCAAATATTATCAAAAATGATTTCTTCATTGGTTATTTTCAAATTCAAAAAAAAAGTGTGCAGTTATCGGTAACGCATCGGAACGGTCGGTCGCAAGGTTGTACTTTCGTGGTGGTTCCCAAATAGACATTTCATCCATCATATAAACGAGAATTAGACCTTACCTCTATCTCGCACAAACAATTTCCGATATCGATGCGACTCGAAAATCTTTCGAACGCTCTGTACACCTTGTACAATCGAGTCTATTCCTACTCATCACACTTCGCATACCATCCAAACGACCACCGTTTCCATCAAGTGTTAATATATAAAATAAAGTATTTGCTTATATTTTTAGTTTAAGTAAAAAAAAAATATATATATATATATATTCTAACAATGTTATCTTCAGCGTATGACATACTCTTTAATCGTTGTCGTTTCTTACGAGGTCTACTTACGATATAATCACTTTTTCAACTCGAATCAACAAAGAATTAACTTCAACCAGAGACAAATTTGCCATATTCATTTTTAAATAATATAGTTAATATAAATAATATTATCAATTGCCTAGAATCAAACAAATGTAGATATCGCTGCATCTCAAAAAAAGTTCAAACTATTCTTTATAGTTGGAAGGAGACTGGTTTTATATAATTTCAAAGGTTATTTTTTGCGTGCGATCTCAAAGGAAATTTTCGAAGCCAATAAGTAAACGAGCAAAATTCACAAAAATTCACGTAAATATCACTTTTTAGATAGGCTTTGAGCATCAGGAAGTACCTGAATAGCCGAATAGCCAAATGAAAATTTTCTGCATATATTTCAGCTAAGTATATTTATGATTTTTTATTAAGATTAATAAAAACGTGATTTAATGAAAATTTGATGCCCTAGGTAAAGAAAGTAACGATATTAGATGATTAACTAAATAATAGCTCCAAAGTTTTTATTATATTTTTGTGCTTGGATCAATGGTTTTTTTTGCAACAAATATTTAAGCAATAAAAGATTTTAAATTGAATTTATTTTATTTCATCCCAATTTTAAAATTTGGAAAAAATGTGTTATATATATATATCTTTTCTACTATTTTATCAGCAATAATTAAATTAAGTTTTCTGAACAGCAGATCTTCTTTTCTTAAGGTCGGCTTTTCTTTCCTTTTGTTCCTTATTGCGCTTAGCAAGTAAAGTGTCATATTCTTCCTTGGCTACTTTTGCAGCCTTGGCTCTTCTGCGTTTAAGGGCAATACGATGACGTTTACGCTGTAGCGTAAGAGGGGTTACCAAGCGCTGAATCTTGGGAGCCTTTGTATAAGGTTTTTTATTATTTTTTGGAGTAATCTCACGACGGATAACAAATTTACGGACATCATCTTCCTTTGTCAAATTCTATATATATATAAATCAAATTAAAATATAATTCATTTTACATTAAAATAAACCAAATATATTCTGAGAATTAAAATAAACTTACAAAAAATTTGCGAATTTTTGAAGCTCTTTTAGGGCCCAAACGTTTAGGAACAGGATTATCGGTTAACCCAGGAATTGGTTGTTCTCCTTGTTTAACTATGACCACAGATAACACTGCAAGATCATTTCCAACAATACAACCTCGAACAGATTTTCTTTTACGTTCACCAGTACGACGAGGTCTATAACATGAATGACCTTTGGCTAATAAAAGCCTTACACGATCATTACGCAATACACCTTGTTTCATAGGAAAGCCTTGCTTATCATTTCCTCCAGAAACACGAAATATATATCCTTTATATTCGTCTCCAATAGAATCTCCTTGCACTTCAGCACTTATACGTTTATCATAAAAGATACGCCTAGTTAAATTATTTTATAAAATAATATTAAATTTTGCCCATAATGTTATAAATTATTTAATCAATTGATTTTACTTACAGCTGACGCTCATCGTCAAATTCAATCAACTTTTGACAGCCAGTGGCTGGATTGGCGATGTTTAGCTAAAAGGAAAGGATTCAATATCAATTTTTGATAAATATTTGAATTTGGATGCACTTAATTTTTTTTTTAATTTATAACGGATGGATAAAAAAAAAAAAAAAATTTTCATTGTAATTCATGCCGATCAAATAATTTTTAAAGTCCATAAATGGTTTATATTAGAGATCTATTCAAAGAAATTCAAACCAGAACTTACCTTCATTGCGAATAAGCTTTCCTTGATCTACCTGTCAAATTAGAGGTTATTTGCTTTTTTCGAATAATTTTAGATTTTTATACTTGGAGATAAATGGTCACGTGGTTGATTTCCCAGATTCCCAGTTACCGGGATTTTAGTCAAATACGAATGAAAATCATCACCCGAAGATGCGATTTTGTATGCGAGATTCTTCTCTTGTCAAAAAGTATGTCAGAAACGCGACAAGCAACGGATAAACCAAATAGTTCCGCTGAAGCAGTTTTAGAAACGAACCCAAGAGGTATTCCTAAAGTTCAATTTGTAGTATGTATAACGATGAACGTTTACTTTTTAATTTCATATAAAATTTTTGTAACAATTTTTTCCCTATTTCGTGAAGGAGAATGTTGAGGAATTTATTTCTAAATCATCAGCACCAGTTGAAGTTACTTTGGGTAAATTCCAGGAAACTGTTGCGTAAGCATTTAAATGTTTATAAACTTTGATTTTACTTAAAATGATCAACCACTCATTTATGACAATAATTAGAAAATATAAGTTTATGGAAATCAATTTTCTTAATCGAAAAAAAGGCCTTGAACTAAAAATACCCGAAATCAGTAAGACATTGACAGTTGTAGAATATTTAGTATCAAAACAAGTAAATTTAAATTTAATTTTATACTTTATAATTCCGTTTCAAGTGACACTTAATATTTATTCATTTTTCCATTATGAGGATTCTGATGAACCTATAGAGACAACATTTGAATTGAATGATACTTTATGGGCGAATGCTACAATTAAATCTACAAAAACTGTTAATTTATGGCTTGGGGTGACTTTTTAATAACTTAACCGTTGATAATTTTCAAAACATATTAATTAAATTTTGTTCTCTTAATTAGGCCAATGTAATGCTTGAATATACATTACAAGAAGCAAAGGAGCTACTTGAAAATAAATTGGATACGAATCAGAATGCACTCAAAAATGTACTAGAAGATTTGGAATTTTTAAGAGAACAAGTTACAACAATGGAAGTTAGTATCCTTTTAAGCTATTGAAAACAAAAAAAACATTTATATTCCTATTTAATGCCTTAACTCATCTCTTCTGCACGAAGATATTGCACGTGTATACAATTGGGATGTTAAGAGAAGACGAACATTGAAAACGACTAGCACTGTTTAAGAGTTAAAATAATTATATTGTAATAATACATTACAGTAATAATATTATGTATTGCTTTATTCTACTAATTAAAGTATTTTATATTAAACATATTAACTATGTTATGAAATGATTACAATTTCTTTCTCATTTATATCTCGATGGTTTCACTTAATGGACATCTTACAGTTTATTATTTGACCATCTGACCCGTGAATAATCGTAAATTTGAAAATCAACTTTTTGTTGATCGAGCTTGTCTGATCTATATCAAAGTCAAATTAAAAATAAATATTTACATTAGTATTACATGATAATTTATCATTAAAAGTTATTATTTAATTGAATATTAACTTTTAAAGATTCTGGTTCAAATTCTATTGGGATGGCAGCAAGGGTTCCATCAAATCTAAAAATTTGAAATGTTTAAATATTATTAATAATTGAGAAATTATTAAATTAAAAATAAACCTGTTCTTTCTAATATCCAATAATCTCATTTCACCGTTATCAGTTTCTAATCGCTGAAGGATTATAACATTATCGGCTTCTTGTGTTACTTTAGCCGTTCCAAATATAGAGCTGACATCCAACAATTCTTTATCATCCTTTCTTGGATGAACAACAATAGTAATATGAACATTTTTTTCAGTAGCAACTCTTCGTAATGATGATAATATTCGATCATGTAACTCCCAACGATCAATGTACCTTCCTTGATCTGCGGTCATAAATTGTAGATTATCAATAACAATATGTCGAACATCGAAAGCATGAATCGCATGATCCATAGCATCAATTATTGTTGAGATTTCAGTACTTCCATAAAATTTAAGAAAATACATTGGAAGCTAATTATTAATTTTATTAATTACAAAAATGACGAGATTTCAGAAATTTTGAAGGGAGAGAAAAAGGAAAAAAATCAAAAAAAAAAATATTTACTTGTTGAAATTTTTCTGCAAGATCAGCAAACTCCTCTGGATGTTTTGTTAAATCTTTTCCAGCGAATTGTTGCAACATCTTTTTTGCCAAACGTACATTTGGTATTTCAAAACTACCCCACAATGTACTAATTCCTGATCGACAATAATCCAACGATAATTGACTTAAAATAGTCGTCTTACCAGTACCTGTTGGTCCGGTAAATATAGTGATTTCACCAGGTCGATGCCCTTTAAGGATTTTATTCAATCCTGGAAGATCCTTTGATAACACTCCACAAACTTGGTCTGGATTAGCAATTTCACGATATACTGCTTCTTTAATGTTTTCAAAATCTATAATCTGATCATGTTGTAAAGGTTTCGATTTCTTAAGAATATCTGATAACCTTTGGCCAGTTGCTAACGCTTGGCTCGCATTAATCGGTCCGTTTAATCGTCCACACCGCGTATTTACGATCATACATCGGTCAATTCCTAGCTTTTGTGCAAATTTTTCAGCCGCTCCTTGGCCTTCTACATCATCATCAAGCCAAATGTAAATGTTTGAAAAACGCTCAAATAAAGGAAGAACTTCTAAAGGTAACTGATATACATTGTTAGGAAGACATGTCGTTGGTATATTAGTTTCTTGATAGACAGCCATTGCATCAAATTCGTTTCCCGCCAAAATAATGGAATCACATTCTAACTTTGCCAAATGATATCCAAAAAGACCTCCTACGAACGATGGTGGATCAAACGCGACTAATTCTTCATTTTTTATTGAACAGGCTTTAATTCGCGTAATCTTCGAATCTAAAAAACCTTCTTCTTTCGAGTCATCAAAAAATGGTGCTGTGCGCGGAAATGTAAAGCACATTTCCTTATTCTCAATTTTCTGAGTACTTCCAGTCTTACCGGAAATATTTGAAGCTGGATTTATATTATGATATTCTGCAATTCCTACTTTATATGCCTGAAGAGTACCTAAAGTTATACCATGATCTTTGGTAAAATTTTCAATTATTTCTGGATTATTTAGTAAGGCATTTGAAAATTCTTCAATTTCATTCTGAGGCCGTGAAAGGGAAGAACGACCCAAACCCAAGTTTGTTGCGTTGATGATTTGAAACGAATCAGTTTTTGATATCAGTTGTACATATTCACCCCAATTACCCTTTCTCATGCAAGCTTGGCAACTATAAGCACCACTTTTCAAATTAATAGTAGCAGAATAATAGTTGATTTTTTTTGGGCGACACTTAGGACATTTGATTCGTCTCAACTCAACGTTGTTACCAGGTTTAGGAAATATATGATATCTGTTGAGAAAGTCCAATACTTCACCCTCTTTAGGAACATAATGTTTTGATATAAATTTCATTCTATTAAGATCGCTCAAGTCTATCTGCAATTCTTTTGCTGCAGCTTTTTTTACAAAGTGGAGTGTAAAATTACGTGTTAAGAGACCATTAGGTATTCTTTTAAAGAGGAAATTGCTGGTCTCTACGGCAGAAAATATTCTAGGTATAATAGGTAGAATATAACGCGACATTATTTAATAAAATTATAACTTCGTGACAAGACGCGTAGATATGACAATTACAAATTTTACTACGTCATACATTTCTGCGTCACAGACGCAAAAGTATTATATTATTTTTGACTCGGTAACAATATGCATGCAACATTAATTAAGCTCGTTTATAATGGTCGATTATGGGAGTAGACTCTTAGCAAAGGTATGATTTTAAGAATAACATTTATAATAATCGATCCCATATATTAAAGCTGTCTCTTATACACATCTAGATGTGTATAAGAGACAGGTATATAACAGAAAAAACAATGACAAAATCATATTACAATTAAGTATTCAATCATACATCACCGGGATACATAACACTCTCCAAATCTTTGACCACAACTGGATCTATATATGGATTTAATAGTGCAGATAATAATTGTTCAGTATATACAAGAAAACTTTCCTCATTTCCTTTAGCTAAAACCTTCAGCGTTTCCATAGCTCTTCTAGCTAACATAATACAATCCTCATCACGATTATGAGCCAGTAGTATTGACATTTTAAGCATCCGATTAATAAATCCAGGTGTAGAAATTATTTTTTTCCTCATTCCTTCCCCGCTCAGGCACGCAAAATTATAAAATGACATAATTAAATAAGGTAATTCTTGAGCCATTAGACGCCCCCCACCACCAGTGATAATATTATTTTCTCCCTTTGGGAGCATTTGTACTAAGCAATTAAAAAATGAAATTAGCGTAGATTCATCGCATCCACCAATCCGTTGTCTATTGTCGTATGAAACGGATAATTTAGCGAACACTTCTAATGCAACTTGAGAATAATAATCATCCATGCTGTCAATAAAATCAGCAATTAAAATTAACAAGTCTCTCGCGACATAAATAGACGGTAAAGGTACATATGCAGCAATGTTTGATAGAATAATTAAAACACTTTTGCGTAATTCCAAGATATCATACGCTTTTTTTCGAATAGCTTTTATACGTTTAGTTTTGACATCAGGCCCAATATCGTTTTCTTTATATAGCTTAAAACTATCGTCATATCCAATGTACAAAACCCGCATAAGAACTGTCAAGAATCGAGGATGAGTTGCAAGATATTCGTGATTTTCATTATTATCATTAGTGAATGAGAAATTCCTTATCATATTTATTACACACCAACATTGTTCATGCAGTGGCAAAACATCTCCAGAGATGGCAGCATCCTCTAATGCTACATCAGCGAACTCTTCACATTCTTGTTTAGATAATTGATATAATTCTCGATATGATTTAAATTTTCGTTGTGATATAATTTCTTCCGTTATTTTTTCATTAACAGGCGATACATGATCAACGTATTCCAAAATCATATCAAATAACACATCAACTAAATCTCCACATTGCTTTAAATCTATCTGAGCACTTCTATAGTATGATAACGTGGTTAATGTATTAAGAGCATTTATGACTTCCAGTTTCATACCACATTTCAAGGACATTGTAAGAGCATGTACGTCCACTGCACCTTTAAACAAAAATAAAAAAAAAATTTAATAATAAAACTAAATTATAATTCTAAATAACTTGATTAATACCTAAATCTTGAATTCCTGGAATAGTTAATGGCAAAGAAAACTTTTCAAAAACTCTCAAATCGAGGCCACCATAACTATCCACTCTTCTTGTTTTCGGGGCATAGTTCACCTTTGGAGGCTTAGGATGAGTAGGTTTTATCGATGGTGGTTGATCGGAAGATATTAAAGGCAAATTATTTGAAACAGAAATTGTTTTATCAGGTTGTCGAGAAACTTGTCTAGAAGTAATGTTCCTGCGTCCAGCTATACCGCTATTAACGGGTAAACGAAGATTAGGCGTAACATTCTCAACAATAGTGTTTTGAGTTATATTCCCAATTTGATTGGGGGGCTGCGGCTGTTGCTGCGGATTATTACTATTATTATTGCCATTATTGCTATTATTCATCGAATGAAGTGCACTGCCAAGCATCTCTGTATTAAACGGAATATTATTAATATCTTTAGGAATATCTGTAGATGGTGTTATTCTTGAGTTCGCAGAAGTTACTTGAACATTCGCATTAAACGAATTCTGGTTGTCATTTGATGGCAAAATTGACGTGGATTCTCCTTGATGTTCTTGTGTTGCTGTGCGCAAATTAATTAATGAATTAGATTTTGATTCTACTGTTGATTGCGGTGATTGATTATAATGGTCGACGATTGCATTCTGAATACTAGAATTAGATGGCATTTCTGTTGATAATGAAGACTGCGTCGATGGCTGAGAATAATTTACATTTGGTGCCATTTTAGTAAATTGTCCTAATTGTGATCCTGCCTGACCTTGATTTTGACTAACATATACTGATGATTGTCTACTAGAATCAGATGACGGATTAGGTGAACGAGGCAACATTCCCAAAGAACTATTCTGTATACTTTTTGGAGACAAATTTTGTGAAACGTTACTTGAAGGGAGAGATGGAATAGAGGAATAAGCATAACTAGCGTCTTCTCGTTGTAGTTGCTGTTGTGATGGCTGCGTAATATGTATTGACGGAGGTTGTGAATGTTGTTGTTGAGATAATGGTTGTGGTGTTGATTGCCGTTCTTGCTGTTGTTGCTGTTCTGATATTGTTTGTTGTAATTGTTGATCTTCTTGCAATTGTTGTGGTGATTGTTGAATATTATTTTGATTAATTGAAGAATATGGTTTTGACGTATTTTGAGATCCAAAATTTAAATTGCTTTGAATTGAATTGGAATTCCACCCTTGTATATTGTTACCCATACCACTCGAATTACTCGTGAATTCTGTTGAACAATTAAAATCATATACAACTTCTTCATCATCTCCCAAGTCTAACCAATCAACCTGGCTTTCTTCTTGTTGGATAGAATTATGTATTGCTTGATTTGATTGTTGGGAATGTTGAGATTGATTTTGATTTAACAGACTATTGAAATTATTTCCAATGGAATTGGACTTTTGTAATTGTCCATAATATTTATTTATATTTTGTATAGATGATGCATAAGCATTTTGCTGTATTGGTGTTGGAGATTTACCGTCTATATTTTGATTATCAGTATTTACAAAGGATTGCGTAGGAACTGTCGACCTTCCAACTATTTGATTAGGAAACCCAGTCGTATAGAGTTGATTCTGATTGGAAGTCTGGCCCATATTTGAAAACATAGGTTGTACCTGTGCTCCCGAGCCTAGTGCTCTTTTTGCTGTTGCTCTACCATTTCCCGTTATAGATGCAATTGGATATACGGGACGAGCAGGGATTGGCATCATTTGATTGATGCCAGTACCATATGCGTTATTTGTCATATACTGCTCAGAATATGCACCAGCGCCCATAACTGTTGAAGATCCTTGAGGATTCCCTGAGAAAGGATAAGGAGCCCGGCTCGGTTGTTGCGGTTGTTGAGGTTGTTGTTGGTATATACTTGGATCCATTGATCAAACGATATTTTATTCTGACGACAAAAAAATTGATAGTTTCCTCCAGTATAAGATATTATAGCAACACAAGCAACACAAGGGTTGCACCAGCTCTCGATTTCACGTGATTTAAAAATGGGTCAAATTTCCAAAAATATAAATATACATTATTTAGTTATGACTCAATAACTGATTATATAAAAAAAAAGTTTATTAATTAAATGTAAAGATAAACCATTTATTTTTAAACAACTATTTATTTTCATTTATAATATTAAAAGATAAAAAAAAACTTTTTTTTTAATTATTAATAATTAAAATTAGCTAATTAAAATTTAGCTAAATAAAATAATACTAAAATCATATATAGTACTATCAGATCTTTATATAATTATCTTTTACATAAAAATACTATTTTGTAAATACTAATACTTATTTTATTAATAATTTATATCTTTCTATATCACTGAATTTTGAGAACTAATTAATAGGTAATTTATTGTTTTTTAAAAAAAATTACTCTTATAAAGATCAGTATTTTATTGAAAAATAATATTTTATATATATATAACTGAAAATATTTTCCATTCAATTAGCAAATATTTTCAAATGAGTTATATATATAAATACTTCTATATTTAAATTAAAATAAAAAACTAATTTAAATATAATTTTAAATTTATAAATCTAATAAAATCAGATAATATTTTGCAAATTTATAGAAATAATAAGTATTTATTAATATAAATTAGATAATTATATAGAATTGCTCTCGCTTTAAATAATTTCCAAAAATGGTATTTATAACCTTTCTTAAAATATTAAATAAATTTATAGAGCAGGCAAAATCACCTATAAATTATAATTATATGTAAAATATATAAATATTAGTATAATTTTGATATAATAATAATATTTTTAAAAAATTTCATATAAATTCTAATATATCAGTTTAATTATATTAAGTTTTATTTTAAAAAAAAATTTTTCATTAAAATTACATTATTTCTTTTTTGAAAATAATTAGTAAATAAATGTTATAATATTATTTTTATATATTAAATTTAAGGAAGGTGAAAAATTACTTAAATAAAAAATAAATTTTTTAGAAAATTTTAACCAGAAGAAAAATTCCTTCTATAATGAATAAGGAGTAACAAATAAGATTTTTAATAATAAAAAATTTTCAAATCTCTAAATTAATTAACAAAAATAAATAATAAATAAATTTAATAACCTAATCTAACTTTTTCCTTCCAAAACATTTTTTATTTTTATATATAATTATTATATAATGCAATTATTTTGGCATTTAATGATCCAATTTTAATAAACTTTTTTTTAATTATAGTTTTTATTTAACTCTACAAATCTAACTCTACAAATAAAAAAAGTTTATACTAAAATAATTATATAATATTAATTATTATATAATATTTAATATGGCAATTTCTATTTGTACACGGGTGTTTAAACACGGGTCATATTAGTAGATTAAAAACGGCATTTAAAACCTCCTTTAATGCCTTAAGTAAACTTGCAAAGCAGGTGAAAATACATATATTTATCTGTAATATAATAAGAATAAAAAGTAAAAGAATATAATGTCAGTAGCATTCAATTTCAAATTAAAAAACAAAAAATTAGTCTATTAAAAATTATATTTATATGACCTGTGTACAAACACCCTGTGTAAACTTGGAAATTTTCATTTAATATATATTAAATCTATATAATTAAAAAAATTTGTAATACAGTCAACTCTCTTTATAGTCACACATTTGGGACAGTCCATATTTGGTGATTATAAAGAGATGTGACTATATAAAAATTTCTTATATTTGTATATCATAATTCCGGCTAAAAATTAACATAATTTTAGCCAGAATTATACTTAAAACTTTATTGTATCGTAACTTCGCCAATATTAATCGTAGAGAGATGATCTTACCGCCATTCGATTCGTCTTGATGAGACGGTTCTAATGGTATAAAATACGTCGAAATCCAATCACTAGATCAATTTCCGAAATTAAAAAATATTAAATGGTTTTTAAGTAATAACTCCGTCAATATTGATCACAAAGAGAT